TTGCAAACCCTACTGAACATACATAGCATTCTCGGGCCACGTTTAGAGACAGCCTTGCCTGAGATGACTTTGGAGCTGACTCAGGTGGCCAATGCTGATCCTGTCACATTACTAAGGTCTCTTCAAATAGCAGTTGAGGGATATTCCTTTTGTCTTCAAAGAGGAACATCTTTCCCAATTCATACAACATGATTTCTGGATTAAATAATGGGGAAGCAAGGGAGACAAATACTGAGTTCTAGTTAATGCTAGCTCCCCCAGTCCCTCTCCTTCTTAGCACACACACACACACACACACACACACACACACACACACACACACACACAAACAGGTTGATTAAAGTGCCTGAGAAGTTTCCTGGGTTATGTATGAAAGAAGCAAATTGGCCATAAATGCTTCTCTCCCTCAGTTTCCCCATCACCAGCTTTAAGCTCTGTCTCCTTCTGCCATATTTATTTCGGTCCAAATCTCACCTACTCTACATTCAGTTATAGTTTTCCTACTTCAGTGAAATTCCTTATAAACTCCAGAGTAAGTTTATAATTCAACTCCCCATGTTCAAAAATCTGCACTGCCAGGCACGCTATGTGGACATACAGACAACAGTTTTCACAATAATTTTTTTTTATTTTCACAATAAATCTTTTCACAACAAATCTTTAATTTCTTAAAAAGCTGCCAGTGGATGATTCTATTTTCAGATCTCATTTCTTCCTCAGATTTTGGGTTCTCCACCTGTCAAATGTTTATGGTAATATAAATAGCAGAAAAGGAAATATATTGTTTGTAGTGGAGACTTTTCCCATGGTTGTTTTGCTCCTTTTCAATGTTCTCATGTTCTTTAAGGATTCTGAAAGACAACACCCTGTAGACTCCTTATCTCCCCAGCACAGCATCACAAACAATGTCCACAGAGCATGGTGGTCTTTCCTCCCCCAGGAAAGCCCAACACAATCTGCTGACCCCTGAGGACTCTGAGAGGAGCTAGGAAGTGCAACACTGAGGGGGGCAGGGCTTGCTCCAATCCTGAGCATGTGCTGCCCGGATGAGGCCAGCTAAGGGCAAGAGTGCCTTTTCTCACTCACCAGAGATCTTAAATAGAGACTGGTGGTGCCCTCCCAGACAGAGGCCACTTGATTAACCCAGCCTGCAGCATCCCGATAACAGGGTCAAGTATTCCCCACTGTGAAGAATTTTCAATTTATTTCACAGACAAGATAGTTCAATGCAAGCCGGCATCCCTGCTCTCCAGGCATGCTCTCCGAGGACAGGAAGGAGAGCTCAGAGCCCTTCTCTAGGGCCTTGCCTCCCATTCTGCAGAGGCCATTTGGCCAGGATCCCAGTTCTTCCTCCACTGGGAGTTCTGTGCTGTATCTTTGTAAGGAAAGGGCCAGGGCATGAAGACAGGGGATAAGGAAAGTCCTTCCCAAGTTTCAGTTGAGATTTAGAGAGCCCTTCAAAGGAGAGGGTTCATTTCTGGTGTTTGGGTTTGCTTTGCATTTGCCTTAGATTTCTGTTTAATTTTGAATGGTGCAAGTCAGATGCTTTGGCCTGGCCAGCACTCCTCCCTTCCTCACATTTTTCTTTGAAGCATCATGTCCTTCTCCACTCTTGTTCCATTTGGATCAAGGAGGGTATAAAACATCTGAGGTTGTCACTGTCAGCTCCCTATCCCCATGACTGCAAGGGACTGCTTGAGAGATGCCACTTCACCCAGGTCAGAGCAGTGAAAATTATGTACCTGGGGCTCTTGCTGATGCTGTCGTAAGAGGGGTACTGTCTTTTGGATGTGGTTGATAAACTGGCTAAATAGAAGCTAGGGATTCCTGTGTCCCTCCTTGCTTTCCTATGGGTGGGCTTCATTCTCAGGCCAACTTCCCATATGGTCACAAGGAAAACAGATGGAGAGAAAGAGAGGGAAGTAATTCATTGACACTTTTGACGGGTTCCGAATTCATCCATGTCTGCACTGAATCTCTGCACTTCTCAATTAAATGAATCATAAACTCACTTTTTTCCCCTAAAGTTGTTTAAGTGACTGAGTCACAGAGAAAGATGAAAGGACCCTTCCTACATTAAAAACCACGGATTTCCAGGGGGCAGTCCCCGTTTCACAGGGTTTAGATATTAGATATGTGCCTTTGTTTTACTCTTTTTTTTTTTTTTTTTTTTGAGACAGAGTCTCGCTTTGTTGCCCAGGCTAGAGAGAGTGCCGTCGCGTCAGCCTAGCTCACAGCAACCTCCCTCAAGCTCCTGGGCGCAATCGATACTACTGCCTCAGCCTCCCGAGTAGCTGGGACTACAGGCATGTGCCACCATGCTCAGCTGATTTTCTCTCTCTCTCTCTCTCTCTATATATATATATACCAATTAATTTCTTTCTATTTATAGTAGATACGGGGTCTCGCTCTTGCTCAGGCTGGTTTCAAACTCCTGACCTTGAGTGATCCACCTGCCTTGGCCTCCCAGAGTGCTGGGATTACAGGAGTGAGCCACCGTGCCCGGCCTGTTTTATAAATTGATTTCATTGCTGTACTTTTTTCATCAGGGTAGTAATGTTTTTCACAACTAAGGCACTAATTTCTGACGTGCTTTCTTAGGCACTTGTGTGGTCACTGTATTTACTTTGGCTTGAGTCCTGGAAGAGGCTGATACATTGGCAATTTTCTTAAACAAAGTTACAATATCTAGCTTGGTTCTCTATTTTCCTTTAATGCTATAAATCTGCATAGCTTATATCAACTCATGCCATTCATATACACGCTTTCCTTTTCTTATTGTTGCTGTTTTCTTCTCCATGTTATGTAATTTCATTCATTAATCTTTGTTCCCTACTCCCACCACCCTCTCTTCTAATACATCTCCTTGACTATACCAGTCTACTTAATAGTCCTAAACATTTTTTTTGCATTTTCACACTTCTTCTTATTATGTAGTAAGCATAAATGTAACCATTATATATCTACCATTATTGATCATCTAATCTAGGCCAAGTACTTTGCTATATCATTTCTTTAATCCTCTTGACCACTCCATGAGATAAGTATGACTTTGGTTAAATTATATAACTTTTCTGGCCCTCACTTTTCTCATCTATGAAATAGACACAAAAAAATCAGAGATGAAACTAGAAACCTACTTTATATTTATCTAAACTTATGTTCTTGCTACTCAAATGGTTAGACTCCCTACCTGTGTGCCAAATGCTAACTCACATAGCCTTCAAACTAGCCAACTTGCTTCCAGATCTCTAATTAGATGGTTTATCGATCACTGATACAGGCTGCTTTGGGGACCATCACTCAGCTCTCTGAGAATGCCTTTGAAGGAAGCACCCAGGAGAAACAGAATGAAAGGAAGCTTCCGGAAAACAGAAAAAGCAAGATACTTACATAAGTAAGTATAAGAAGTTTATTTCCAAATTTCACCTTAAAGAACCATGCAGAAAATATTACACTTTTAGAGAAAAATGGAAAGTGTGAGAAATAAAGATGCACAGATGACGTGTTACCTAGGAAAAAAGATGACTCTAAATCTGTACCCCTTTCCATACTTGAAAAAATCATAACCTAGATTTCATAGAAAACGAGTAAGATTCCAGAGGAGGAACAACTGCAAATATTTATACGTAAAAGTCTTGGGTAGAAATCTGTTCCCTCTCTAGGTTCTCAGCAGCCCTGTGTTAAGAAATAACCCACTCTTTCTCCCACCAAATTGCAGTGCAGATCATAATCTGTAGGATATGATGGGACGCTGGGAGCAGGAAGGTCAGATGCAAATCTGGAAGATTACCTGATCCCCACCCTTCAACTCCACTTACCACTAGGAGATGTGGTTCAACAGTGCTTTCTGTGGCAGCTCTGTTCTTCATTACTTGAACACAGAGAAAATTATAGACATGAGCCTTCTGCCGAGTGAGAAAGTGGCAGTTGAAAGGAAGGTGTGTGCTAGGAGGTGGGCCATGCCATGATTTGGAGTTGTTGTCAATAACACTGTTATAGAATGTTCTCAAGCCATCTTGGAAGACTAGAGATCATGAGGCTAGATTATAAGTTTATTCAAAGTAAACAGAAAAGCTTCAAGTGCTGGAGAGGGAATAGCCGATATTTATTTAGTAGCTGAGAGGAATCCTACTTTTGACCTATCCTCCTGGAAGAACTGAGAAACTGAAATCATTTGGTTTCTAAAAGGGCAACTAGACCAAGACTGATCATTTTAACTGAATGTATGAAGAAGAACAACAACATAGTAAACCCCACCACAGAGATGGGAGGGTCTTTCGAAGTTTAAAAGAGGAGAGGGAAGAAAAGAAGACCAGGGAGGGTAGGAGAGACAGAGAAACACACACACACACACACATACACACACACACACACACACACTCTCTCTCTCTCTCTCTCTCTTTCTCTCTCTCAAATGCCCCAGCAGGTAGGTGGTGGAGATGAGGAGAAAGTAAATCCCCACAGAGCCAATGGTGGTGCCCTGGAGCCAATATTACTCATTTATTATAAACACAAATTAGATCATAAAAGAATCAATGATTTGTATAAAAGTTGTATCTTTAAAAACAGATACACACATCATGTAATTTGATTCTCACAACATTTGTGATAAGTAAGACAAATCGGTTTGCCATCTATGTGTCATTCAACTACTTGTTTTTTGTTCACTTACTGTCATGAACATTTTTTTTATGATGGCACATAGAGATTTATTTACATTTGTTGCAAACACTGTAGAGTATCCCATAGTGTGAATAATTTAGCCATTCCTTACAATAAATACTCTTATATGTGGTTTTGGTGAGTCTGTTAGAATCGCCAGTCTATGGATGAGAATTGGAGGACCAGAAAGTCAGGGACTCCAGGAACAGCTGGGGCTGCCTCTCTTAAACCCAGATTCCCCAGAGAACCCTCTGAGCCGCTATGGTGGTGGTCACACTAGCGGTGGGTGTGGCTCAGACTGCAGGGAGAAGCTGCAATGTCAGCTGGGGACTCACCTGCTCCAGATCATCTGCTGACCTTTTGTTTTCTCCCGTTGGATCCTGATAGGGCAAGACAAAGAGCTCGGCAGCGGTGGGTAAGCCAGGGAGCACCGCCACCAAGATGTGCTGGGCTGGAACTCCAGTGGCCTGAGGGAGAGACACAGAAGCTCACGTCAGTCCTGCAAAAAAGAATAGTGAGGAGGGACCAGGTATTTGAGAGGGGTTGGAGGTAGGGACAGACCCATGGGAGTGGGGGCCGTGAAAGCAAAGGCCTGGGTGCAGCAGGCAGGAAGGTACGTGAGAGGCAGGACCAGGCTGCAGGTGCAGGCTCCGGAGTCAGACTTTCCATGATCTGATCCCAGCCCCGACACTGTGAGACCTTAAGCACGTTGCTTATCTTCCCTGTGTCTGCATTCCTTTAAATGGAAAGCAGGGATAGTAGCAGTACCTGCCTTGCTAATGGGTAGTTTTGAGAATTAAGTGATTAACACATGAAGCATCTATAGTAGTGCCTCTGGGGATTCACAATGTCAGCTCTTCTTCCTAGAAGGCATCTCCAGGAAGTGAACCTGGCCAGAAAGAAGACCCTCACTCACATTTATCATCTGCCCCTCATGCCTTAGTTAGCCCTTTCTAACCTAGCTTCCTCATTTGTCTCCCCATTGGAGTTACTCCCCAAATAGACCAGTCACATCCTAATCACCTAACCCTAATAGGACTCCCCCATCACGGCCCTCAGGAGGCACCTGCTGACTTATCACAGCATCTGCAGCCCTGTTTCCTGAAGCACTCTGGGCTCCTCACTTGGCCACGCTGAGTCTTCTGTGGAAATTATAGATATATCACACAAGGAATTCCTCTTTGTCTTAGTTCCTCTGCTGTCTCTTGAGCTTATATCCCAGGGTTTCCCCTGAGCCCTCTAAAGTGGTTCTAGAATCAATAGCTATAACCTCAGCTTCTCTCTCCAGCAGCCATTCACAACACCATTTGGTTATTCCACTAGGACTTCTACCACGCATGTCAACAAAAGAACTTTCATTTTCACCCCCAAAATCTTCATTATCCATTTAGGTGAACTGAAGCAGTCCTTTCCCAGATACCCTTGCTTTAAGCCCTGTATTCTCCTCTTATACCACACTCCCCTTCCCCGTCACATCTAATCATTCTGTGAAACCTTGACAAGTTGACTTTCACATTAATGATCCTATTGGTTTCCTCCTGTTTAAATGCCCACTGTTAATATCCCAATCCAGCCCCCATGCACTCTCCCCTTAAGTTTTACAATAGCCTCTGCATCTCCATGAGACAGGCTACTACTTCCAGATTTACCTCTCTACAGTCTGACTCAGACCATGTTCCCCTCTCCAAAACGCTTGCAAGAATCCCATTGCTAACAGGATTAAGTGCACATTCAAGGCCTTCAGCAGTGTGGCTCACCCTCCCTTTCCAAACTAATTACCTACAACTCACACAGGCCTCTTACACATTAGCCAAATGGAATGATGTCTAATTTCTCAATATCCCAGCCTTTCCTGCAAATGGTTTTGTGCAAGCCATCTCCCCCAGAATGTCTTTTCTCAACATGTGCTGCTAGAATCCTACTTATCCTTGATGAGTCATCTTAAACCTGCTTATTTCAGGACATTTTTCATTATTTTCCAATTAGGTGATTGTATGTTTTGAATTCCAGATTGGCACATTTTTTGAAGCAGCAAGAAATGACATGTATTGGGTCCTAGCCAAGTGCCTGGCATTGTGCTAAGTACTTATAATATTATTTTATGCAACCCCCCCCATAAGAACCCTTTGAAGAAAATGTTATTGTGCCTCACTTTGAAGTGAAGACATGTCACAGGCTGGGCTCCTCAGGAAGCTGACTCTGGGTTTACTGTGTAGGCTGTTTACTAAGAAGTGCTCTTAGGAACAACACCCATGAGAAGGAAGTGGGAATAGGCAGGGGAGTAGTTGAGCTGCCAAGTAAGCCCGATGACAGCCTCAAGAGACCCCATGGGGAGACAGAAGGGCATTTCAGAGTTGTCTTAAATTAGGCAGAGATGGGCATGACTTTATATAACTCTACCAGTTCATCCTCAGATACGAGCCACTTTGGAAAGCGGCATGACCTGGAACAAAGGCAGTGGAAGCCTTGCCCATTGCACTCCGAGCAGCCAAGACAACAAGTCTCTCCCTGAACAGGGTTCTTTCTGGGAGGTGCATCTCTGTTTCCACCCCAGGTAAGCTGGTAACTATAGCAAGGCGAAACAGTGGCTCCAGGCCATCTAGGAGGTGACTGGTACTCAGGAAGCACGATCCGGGCTGGGAAGCCTCTGTTGGTAGCCAGTGCTCTGTGCTTCTCTGTTCCTCACACTTACAGACACCAGCTCCTACTACAGCTAACTGCACACTGTTTTATGCCCTACTTGACTGTAAACTCAGAGATTATATCTGAATCATCATCATTATACACAAAAATGTTTATTGAATGACATTCAATTAAAGATTTCATTGTTAAATGTCAATAGCAAAAGCCAATTTGATGAGAAAAGGGTAACCAATTTTATACCAAATTTTGTCTCATAATGAGTAGGAAAAAGAAAAAAAAAACTGTGGATAAGCTGGCTCTAAGTCGTACCTCTCATAGCGTTTGTTAGAGTACACAGCACTGTGGTCCCTTAGGGCACAAGTGGCCAAGTGTAATTGCTGATCTCAAAGACAGGGTGGGATGCTGGGAACCGGGGCTGGGTCGGCTGCCTATTGGGATTGGGTAACTAGAGAGCCTTGGGACCTGGAAGCTGCTAACCTCACCACCCCGGTTGCTACAACCTTGCCCTGAGAAATGTCGAGCCATCCTGTGCATTCTGTATTTCGCTGATTATGCTATGCAGCAGCCTAGAAACACTGATGAGCAGTAGTTTCTAGCCTACTGGACAGCTGTTAGAAAGGTGGAGGCTCAGGGCATCTGATCTCTAGACAATAAGTATGGAGATAAATCAGCCTGGAAGGCTGGTCATTGCTCAGCTAATGCCTGGTTGGTAAATCCCCTGGGGTAGTTAGACAGCTGCCTGGTAGGCCTGTGGGGACATGGGTCCCCGGAAGGCTGCAGACAAAAAGAGGTGGGAAGTGGGTTCATTAAAGGGTGTAAGCCATCTCTCTTGGACAACAAATGAAAGAAACCAGTTGTCACACCAGGGGCTGATGGCTCCAAGGACAGAGAGGCCTATTCCAGGTAGGCCTATAGTCTAGCAGCTGTGCCTCCTGGTGGCCAAAGTGTTTAGCACCAATAATGTCACAGGTGCCATGGAAACAGAGGTGCCCAAAGGCACATGCAAATCCCTCCTTTCTATACCAATGTTCTATCCACACCTGTTTCTCCTTGGAATAAGGCAAAGGATGGCAGTAGAGAGGAGCGGGTAGGAAACCGCAAAATCAAGATTCACACCTTCCCGGACTGACTCCAGAACCTGATTTTTTTTTAATTTTTTGCATGCCCTTCGGTAAGTTACCTAATATCTCTACGTTTAGTTTCTTCTCCTACAAAATGGGAGAGAAATCACAGTTCCAACATCACGAGCTTACTTTGGGTATTAAATGTGTTAAATATTGCAAAGCACTGAAAGGAGCGCCTAGAATATTGTAAGAGCTAAATAAATATCAACAAAGGTAATGGCATGAAGATGGGGAAGACCAGCTCTTTGCCAAGAGGCTGGATGAGAGATCTCTTTTCTGAGCAGGGGTTATCTGAATGCCTTTATCCCACCATCTTTTTGTGTCCTGTGGTATCATGTGTTGGGAGCAGGAAAGAATGTACACAAAATGAAGTTGATTCGCTTTTGGGGCTAAGAAGATGCCCCTGGAAAATGTAACTTATCTCTGATTTTCTGTGTGTGTCCATAAGCTTAAACAGCCCTGTGAGTGGCTGTCCCATTTCCCTGCTCTCTCATGAAAGTGGAATTGAGATAGTATTGGAAGTGGACTTTGGCCGCCTGCCTGAGCCTTGAGCCAAAGCTTAAGTCTGCTTACAACACTGACAAGAAGCCTTGAAAAGGATTAACACCAGCTTCAATAGGAGGTAATTCCGCTTTCTTTAACAGAACGTGGCAACCGTGCCCCAGTTAAAGCCAGCACAGATTGGTTGCTGCCAAGAGGAAGCCCAAAGTTGACCACTGATAGACCTTTTCCCTCATTTTAATTCTAAAAGTCATGCCCAAGGGTGGAGACTTAACATGCTAACTAGGCATGCAATACATGAAGAAGCATGATTACTGGAGGGGGGCAGATGCCAACAAACCCCCACCTCCACATGCTCTGATTTCACTGCTGGTGCTAAACTTTCTCTATTTCTATCCTTTAAAAATTCTCCAGCTCTTTCTTTGGAGACCGAGTCTGATTGCTTATCAACCAGCACTGTCTCCCCTTTTGTTCAAGCAAAAGCCCCAAATTAAGCCTTACCTGCCTACATCTTTCTAGTCTCATACCAATTTCTATTGACTCGGGGAAGAAGAACCTGAAGTCTGGTATCAGAATGGGTGGGTGGGGGGAGAATGTGCCTAAAAGATGGTGTCTTCTCCAGTTGTCAGTGACATTTGCTTGGAGGGGGATAAACCACACCCCTTGGTATTCTCTCAGAAACCTTGGGGGGCTGTGTTGCAAAGGTAAAAACCAAGACGTTGGACTCAGGCCCTTCACTTCACTTTTGTACTTGTGAGAGTTTAGGCAAGTTACTTAACCTCTCTGAACCTCGGTTGCCTCAGCTACAAAATCAGGGTAATAATTCCTTCATGGGGCTGTTATAGGAGAGAAACGTCTTTAAAAGAACCGGGAGAGAGAAGTACAACTAACCATCATGTACTGAATGCTGACTGTACTGTCAGGCTCACAGTTGTGGAGCTGGAACCCAGGACCACGCTTACTAACTGTACTCACCCTTGGGGACACTCACATGCTGTGTCCTTCCACTGTCATGCACACAAACTGATCTCACACTCGCTAATGGCCTCATCATGAACTCTGCTATATATATGACTGTCACAAGTCTCCACAACCTTCTTTAAGCAGAATCACCCTCACAGTGGGCAAGGGCCCCATGTTTGTCCATGGTTTCCGACAATACGTCTGCTGGTGTGGGGCTTAGCTGTGCAGATCTCAGACTGATTAACCAGACTTCCCATGGGTTCCAGGTCTTTCCTGTCATTTCTTTGCACAAAGGTCCCATCTCCATGACATTCCTTAAGGACAATTGAGGAAATGTACCCGGGCAAGAGAAGGACCTGTTTGCACTCACTTCCACCAGGGACTTTTTGATGACTCGGCTGATGTCCCTCCTCCACTCAGGGATGTCTGGGTTGTAGTCATCCAGGTTTGGAGAAAAGGACAAGCGAAGAGACCGGAATTCCTCTGGAAATACAACAGTAGGTGGATTATTGTAAGTCAGAGTTTGGGTCAAAAAAGTGTAGACTTTATATTTTATATAAAGCCCTAATGGAGGGCTTGATGTTCACCACAGAGATCCTTCTAGAAGGCAAATTCACTATTCCACCTTGTTATCTCACAAGCTTCTCATTTTCTAAACCAAAGCCCGGACTCTGTGGCATACCTAGCTCTGCAATCTTTTCTCTAGATTCTGCACTACTGGACACTAAATAAAGCTGGAGGGCTGTGCAGGCATAGCAGGCTTATGGCCCAGGGCCTTTGCACATACTAGAATATGTGCACACTGCCTAGAAGGCCCCATTCTACCCACTATCTATGCACAAAATATTCAAGCTCTAGTTCAAGCATTCCCTGACTGATTACCTTCCCCCATGATATTTTAGTTTTCTTTTTTATGGCACTACTGTATTGTGCACATACTTTCATTATTATTATAAGATAGTAGTATTACCATGATTATAATTAGATATTTATAATTATTATTGTAGTCATTCTGTTGCTATTTTTTATTCACACAGAAGCTTCATTTAATGGAATTTTAAACTCCTGAATTCAAGGATTTTGTTAGTTGTCTCAGTAGCCTCTGAGTCAGTCCAGGTTCTGCAGGAAGTAGGATGGTGATTACATAAGAAAGGGCTGTGCGAGTGGAACTGTCTGTGACAGAACATGGGGAGGAAGCCAGAGTCAGCATGAAGAACTATCAGACGACCATGGCTACAGGTGGAAGGGAGGGAAGGAAGGCTGGGTGACTGCTCTGCAGGACTGTCCAGGAGTCTGTGAGCTCACGTCTGCTGGCAGAGGAGTCCCCCAAGTCCAAGGGGTGAGTCAGCCATAGTAGCCCACCTCACTCCATCATTGGCTGTGGTCAGTCTTGGGATGGTGTGACCTTGGCCATAGTAAGATGACAAGTGTCAGACCCTGGTGCTGGGGGTCATGGTCAATCACACTCCCCATAGCTGCAGGTCTGTGAGGAGCATTTTATGACCTCCAGACGCCCTAACCCAGCAGTGTTCGGTACATGGTATACTCAGGTCACATTGCTCCCCTGCAACCTGCTCGCTTGTGGCTCTGCATTGCACTTAGAATAAACTGCAGATTCTTTTTTTTTTCTATTTCAGAATATTATGGGGGTACAAATATGTTGGTTACATATAATGCCTTTGCTTTGCCCATGCAAGGGCTACAAGCGTGTCTCTCCCCTATACAGTGTGCTTTGCATTCAGTAGTTGTGAGTTTACCCCCGCCCCACCTTACTTGGACCCAGTGAATATTACTACTATGGTAGCACCTTACTCTTGATCACTTAGTCCCAGTTTGATGGCAAGTACCATGTGGTGCTTGTTTTTCCATTCTTGTGATATCTCACTTTGAAGGATGGGCTCAAGCTCTATCCAGGATAATACAAGAGGAGCTAGTTCACAGTTGTTTTTTGTAGTTGAGTAGTATTCTATGGCATATATATGCCATGTTTTATTAATCAGCTCATGTATTGATGAGCACTTGGGTTGTTTCCACATCTTCACAATTGTGAATCGTGCTGCCATAAACATTCAAGTACAGATGTCTTTCTTATAGAATGTCTTTTGTGACTTACCTCAGTCTTCCTGGCCCCACGTCACCTGGGTGGCACCTGCTCTCCTCATTCCTGTCCTGTTGGGCTTCCCTGTGCTCTCTGAGCTCCTGTGTTTCTCAGTCATCCCAGGCTCCATCCCAACATCGTTCAGTCTCTTCTCAAAGAGGCCTTCCCAAGCACCCAACCTCACGTAGCTTCCCTTCCACCACTCATCACATTCTTCACCACTGGACACTATTTGTCTTCTTCAAAGTTATTGCTGTTTAAATTATCTTGTTTTTGTTATATGTCTTCTAAACTGGAATGTCAGCTCAATGAGGACAAGGGCTCTGTGTCCCTGGCCCCTGGGGACAGTGTCTGGCACATGGTGGGTTTTCAAGTACCACTTATGAGTCATTTAATTAAGAAATGTTTGTCAAATAGGCAAATGCATAAATTATAAATTATAGACAGCCTCCACTGTAACCTAAGCATTCATTTGTTCAACAAACACTTTTTATTTTAAGCATGTCTTGTGTCTTAGTAGGAGCCAAGTGACATCCTTGGCACTTATACATTCAGGAAGCAGAAAAGCCCACTTGTGCATTTCCTAACAGTGCTAAGGAGTTATCAAACACATGCTTTGAACACTCTTACATTCTTAGGTGTGATTCATGGCAGTTACCCTATTCTAAAGATGTTTTTCAAAGCTTGACTATTTTATGAATCACTGGTCACCTTTGAATGTTACCAGTTCAGTTCTGATGGAGAATAATGAAATGCATATTAATCAGTAGTGTGGTAAATGGCCCCACTGAAGAATCGCCCACTGAGCTCTCACTTTTCACTCTGAAGATATGTTTGTGTAATTCTCACTTTCTCCGTACCTCCCACCGAACTGTAGAGACTCCTTTTACAAGAGAAGATGTTTAGCTTAATAAAAGGACACAGATGAGAAAATGATGCAGCTTCCTCTATAATTACTTAGCATACTAAGCATCATGGCAGGGAGGGAGAATGGCGGAGAAATGTTATACTTAAGTTTATTCAAGAAACAGGAGATGCATGTGGAAAGGATACACACACACACACACACACACACACATACATACACACACACATTTGTAGCTGTTGAGAGAGTTGAGTTCTACACATTTATATTGTTTTATTCAAAAGCAAGCCCATGCCTTTGGAGCAAATTAAGGGAAACAATGAAGCCTAGACTTTCTTTCTTCCAGTCTATTGTGTGGCTTTGGGTAGACAAGCCTTCCTCTGTCAATTTCCCAAAGGCTTCCTTCAGTCTGATCATGACAAACTTTCAAGTTCCCCTCAGTTTGGCTACACTTTACACAGCTTTCTTCCTGATTATAGGACCCTGGCCTGTCTTTTCTTAGAGCATTTAGTCTAGAAAACTTGCACCTTTAATTTCCTTCCCTGTGCCTTTCAGATGTAAATCTTCTACAACTCAGGAATGTCTTTCTCCAGGACCTGGGGGCCATTCCTTCTAAATGTAATCTTCAAGAGAGGGAACACCCTCCCTATCAGCCAGTCTCTATGGGAAGGTGGGAGACTAACTTCCCTAAGCAGCAATTAGCTAATACAGATGGTCTAATCACCATGATAACCCCACGGGTTCTCTAATGTCCTTTAGTACTTTCCCAGTAGCTGACCCCAGCCTTTTATGTATGTTCCTGCCTTCTGTTTCAGTTGAGTTCCATCTTGCCTCTTTAACTCTGGTGCAATTTTTCTTTAACATGTCATTAAAACGTTCTTAGCACGTCTAGGAGACTCTGGACAACTCCACTGACTGAAGATGAACTAAGAATGGCTAATGGCACAGAAGAATGGCTAGAGGAGGAGGGACCACTTCCCCTGCTCAAGCTTTTAGTACAGAGACAACTACAAAGGGTGACCCACCCATCAATGATGCCTTTAAAGAAACTGTAGAAGGAGAAAGAAAGAAACATAGCAAGGGGGTGGGAGATGCTTAGAAATATCTACTCTGGATTCAGAATTCTTAGGCCCTGTTTGTTTATTATACTTACGCTTTCTCACCTGTAACCCAGGGATAATTATAGGACATTTCTCTTAAGTCTGTTCAGAGGATTCAATAAACCAGATCATATGTATCAAGTGCTTAGAAGAGATGCCACAGGTTAGTAAGGGCTTCGTCAATGTTTATTACGGCCATCGCCACCAGTGCCATGATTAGTATCAGATCTGTCACCAAACAGCAGAATGACTTTAAGCTAATAATTTCCCATGTCCAGACCACAATTTCCTATCCATAAAATGACTAGACTGGACCAGATGAGCCCACAAACCTTCCAGATTTAAGTTTTTCTCTGTGATGCTGATGAAGAGATGGCCAAGATGCTTAACTAAGAGAACTTCTATTGGGCTAAGGGTCAGTGCCCATTCTGGTGGCTTGTGACATCCAGGAGGGAGAGAGAAGGAAAAGAACATTGGGTAGAAATATTAATAAATGAGAACCAGTAAAATAGGGTAATTTCAGAGCACCAGTCCTGGGTCTAGATGAGTGGGGTCGGAAGCCAGCTGTACGTACCACTCATTAGTGAGGCAAGTTATTTACTCTCTGAACAAGTGGGGATGATAATGCCACCTACCTTATCCTAGAGTTGTTACGAAGATTAAAGGTCTTCTCACACATAGAAAGGAGACAGAAAAGGAAGGAGAAACAGAAGTCCTTCCCACCATACACAGCCACTATTTGGCCACCTGGTACCCTACTGAGGGGAACTTGGTAGGAAAATCCCAGCCCTGGTTTACTTCCTCTTACTAGTTGGGCTGATCAAGCTTCCTCAGGAGGAAGAAAGAGAAGAAAAAAATTATGAAACCTAACACTAGCCATGAAAAAAGGATGTCCTTGAGGTCTTTTGATCTTCAGATGTGTTCAAGTTTGCTTACAAATTATTTTTTGATTTTGAAGGTCAAATTGGCAAGATGAGAGATGAAAGCCAGAATCTGACTCCCCACAGGAGGATCTCATTTTAAATTAACTCATCAGAATCAATTAATTCTGGAACTGGGGCAATTGATATTTGGACCACAAGCTAGTCTGTCTGTCTGTCTCTCTTTCTCTTCCCCTCCTCCTCACTTCCTCTCCTCCTTGCACTCTTCCTGCATAGCATTTACTTTTCTATCTACCTAATTTTAACTTATTGTTCTTTCAATTTTAATTTTTCATGATGCATATGTACCACTTACATATTAATAATAAACATTTACATTTTTTTACCATCACCAGTAACACTTAATGCATATCCATTTATCTTTCTGTGCAGAAAAAAGTTATCAAAATGAGATCAAGCTATAAAATGTTTTTTATCTCCTGTTTTTAATTAAGGACTTCACCTTTTCATTTCAGTACATTTTCATTCCATCTAATACTCTGACCATATTCAGTTTCTCCAATTGATCACAAAATTATTCTGTATGGCTGTTTGTTCAAACCAATGACTATGCATGGCATTCAGGGGTTATGATCTCTCCATTATTTTCAATCTAGCAGAGTTTTTCTTACATATATAATACAGATTTGGGGAAGAGATTTTTTAAAAGTATTTACACAATGGTAGATTTCTCTTAATAATCAAGAATTTTGAAGTGGAACTTTAAAAAGAGATTGATCATTAGCCATTTTCTTTTATAACCGATTTCAGCTATTCAAATACCATTGAAATTCTATGTGAAATGAGTCAGCCTTATACATAATAAAACCCACCTTATTCTACCTAGAGTGAGTGAGCAAATGGATACTCAATGTTTAAGAAAAGAAAACAAACCCTTTTGGAATCCTACAACACTGTTCTGCTGGTGAATCACAGTTCCCTAAAGGAGATCAGAGTTCTCTCAACTCTTTCTCAACAACTCCCCTCTATTCTGTAGGTGAAAGTCGTAGCCAGATGGCCTCGGCCACCAGGGCCCCTGCCAACCTCCTCTGTGAGGGCAGCGATGGATCAGCAGAGACGGGCACTCACCATACACCGCGATGGTCTTCGTGTCCTGCAGGATGGCGTTCCCAGCTGAGACCTGCACCGTGATGGTATTCATTCCTTCCGAAGTAAACTTGAATGAGATGCTTCCCTCCAGGGTGATCAAGGGCTAAAAGAAACAAGGGCACAGAGTGAGGGGGAAGCTTAGGTACAGGTGGGACAGCTGCTCGCTCTGAGCCAACAGTGAGCTGTCAAACCCAGCAGAGGCTCTTCATGGTGCCCCCCGGTGGAAATGAGCCTAGCTAGGCCTTCCCGTCATCTCAAGTCTAGGCCACAAAGGAGGCGATTGGAGCCCTGACTCCACAGGGATCTGCACATTCCTTGTGAATGTGACTCCTCTCTCCTGGTGTCATCCTTATTTGGGGCTGGGGAGACTGATAGGCCTTACTTGCTGGTGTGATCCCTGTCTCTTTTTACACATAACCTACTCATATCAAGCAGATCCCTAAGCTAAGTAAACATTCAAATTGAATGAGATCAGGGAGCTCATATGAATCCAGATCTAAGCAGCAGCCACTGAAACTCTATAAGCTGCAAGGTGTTCATCTGCAGGGTGTACTATTTCTATAAAATCACAGTGGAACACAGGAATCCTATATATCAAAATTGTACACTAATTCGACAGGAGTGGCCTTGTGTGCTGGCTTCCTCGCACAAGCCCTATCCAGCAGTTTCCTGGACGTAGCTGCTATGGAAACAAGTACTAATTGGATAGTGGTTTGTGGATTCAAAAGAAAAAAAGAAAAAAAAAAATAGGAAAAAGATTTGGAGCGGTGCCAGCGATACAATCGAACACCAGGGTCCTAAAGGAGAAAAAGATTAGCCTACTGACCTCCCTCAACTCACTCATCACAAACATTTCTTTCCTATCTTTTCTTAATTAATTTTTAAATCAAAATTCATTGAAGTCCCTATATGGCAGAGGGAAGACTAAAGCTCAGCATAAGAAGTCTTTTCAATAGGATCTGCTGAGAATTTGGTTTTCTTTTAAAAGGAAAACAAAACAAAACAATAGGAGGCACAGAAGAAAGTTGTTTGGCGCTTTCACCTGCTAGTACTAGCTTTCAGGAAAATAAAATAGACTTCTCCTCTTCCACTGTGGTTAGTGGGCCCAATCTGGGTCAAATGTCCACATAGTTTCAGATGAAATAAAAAAAGGGCTTCTGAGGCTGGGGGTGGTGGCTCATGCCTGTAATACCAGCAATTTGGGAGGTTGAGGTGGTAGGATAGCTTGAGGCCAAGAGTTTGAGACCAGCCTGAGGAACATGATGAGATCCTGTCTCTACAAAAAATGTAAGAAAAAAAAAAATAGCCAGGGGTGGTAGCATGCACCTATAGTCTCAGCTATTGGACAGGCTGAAGCAAGAGGATTGCTTGAGCCCAGGAGTTTTGGAGTGAGCTGTGATAGCGCCACTGCACTCCAGCCTGGGTGACAGAGCAAGACCCTGTCTCTTAAAAAAAAATCCCTCCCCCAAAAAGAAAAGATCAGAAAAGGGTTTATTTTCAGTTTAGTTATGTTAGCAGTGGAGGTGAGAGGCTCTTTCCACTCTCAGGCTTATAGCAGGTCTAGGTTCAGGGAGGGTTTCCTCCCTGTGTCTGTGCAGAATTGTGTCTCCATCAAAGGCCAAATTTCAGCTCTAGAGTAGAAAAAATGTTTTTTATTAAAATAAGATGCATTGTACTTTAGCAAGGGAGTCTAATAAAAACATTTTAAATAAATCAGCAAGATGCATTATGTTTGAAAAGGGCAAAGTTACCAAGTGGAAGCAACTCTGCTGGAAGAAGAGCAGGCTTTCCAGTCCAGAGCCGCTTCGCCTAGTGCCCTGCGGGGCCCCGGCCACACTGCCTAACTTACATTTGGAAGCATTCTAATTTCTGAGAATGGAATGAGTTCAAAACCAAAAAAGACCATGCAGCCTGGTGCAGAGGAAAGAAAAATTAATGGGGGCATCAGAGGGCCTTGAATTTGGCCTCTTATGAGGCAGCTGGAAGCCAACGAAGCAAGCCCAGCTCCGTTAGCCTCACTTTGCTCATCTGCAAGATGAAGGACTTAGAGTAAATCTGGCTTAAAGTCTCTGCTGGTTTTCAAGTGGCTGCTGACTTTTGCACACAGGGAATATTTGGGGAAAACATAAAGGATAAGTCTTGCCTGAAGAAATCAGAATTTCTGGTTTAGGATGAGGGGGCCATTTGGGCAGTGGGTTGTAATGATAATTTCTTGCTTTCTCCTGTCCAGTATCCATCTGCCTCTGTTTCCTCTTGTAACGTCTTCCCTTCTGCTGGTTCCAAGGAGGCTGACTTCATCACCACCCTCTCCACCCCCCAGCACTGTGATCAAGACCTGGCCAATAATTCTCAATTTCAGGAATTCTGCTAGAATTTTGGAAAAGCAGAGTTCAATTTCTCTTTTAAACTAAGGCCTTGGGTCACTGCAAAAGTCCAGCTGGAGATAAATGCCAAGGCAGAGGAAGGCAAAGATAAAATGTTGGCAGTGGAGAATGGCAAGAGAGAGAGAGAGAGAACGTAAGGATGAAATATTTGAGCAGTGAGAGAGCTTATGGATCTGGGACTACCCCAACCCTCTGGAGTTCATAAGCCACGTCATTCCCTTTTTTGCTTCAGCCAGATGAGCTGAGCTTCTGTCACTATACCCCGTGTGGAGGGAGACCCACCTCCGTGTTGTTTCCGTACCACCACACGTAAGTGAGGGTCCCCACTTGGCTGGGCCACAGCACGGCTGTTGCGTTGACTTCTTTGTTCTTTGTGGTGACAAAGGGAAGAGAGAGGTGCACGTGCTCCAGGGGACCTTAGGCACAAGAGAAAGAGGAGACATAGAGAGGGAAGAGCTTCCTCTGTTCAGCCTTCCCTGCTCTGAAGAGAATACACAGTCACTCTCGAAGCCTCCAAACACGGCAGCCATATTCCCAGAGGAAGTGCTCAGGTGCTTCCCTACTTTGGAGAAGAGGACCGATCATGAATAACTGTGTTTGTGCATTTTCAATTTACCGATCTTTCTACCTGTTCTAAAACCTAAGTTATGTATGTGTAAAAGTTAAAAATTTACAAGTAGCTTATGAAATCCTTAAGTGAACAGGCATAATAGATTTCACAGGAAGATGAAGTCTTTCCAAGAGGTTATATCCTGGGTGGTCATTCAGGATCTTGAGAGTCCATGCTGGGTGTGGGTGTGGGGGAATCCCTAAACCACTCTGCATGTAGTTATTCTTTACTGTGTGCTGGGTTTTCAAGATGTGTGCATGTGTAAATGTGTGTGTGCATGTGCCTGCAAGTGAGTGTATGTAAAGCTGCCTGGCTAGGTGAGCATGGGACACACTGTGTTTGGGTGGAATCAAGCTTTTCCAGGATAGAGGCGAGTGTGTGTGGACAGAGAGCTGCGGTCCTCGGCTTCTTAGGAGATGATCACATAAAATATAGGACGATGCTATTTATGGGGGCCCATAAAAACCAGAAACCTTAATCAGATGTACAAACCCCAGAAAGATATGCATGCCCCCTTCATACAGAATCGCTAGAACTTTTCTTACAATCCCTAATCTTATCTTTGAGTCACTCTTCCCAGGCAACATGAAGCTCCCCCTGCCTTTTCCATCCCACCTTGGTCCCATGAGGTGGAGAAGAGAGTGGTACCTCAGGCCCCCACCAGGTTTCATTATGCCTCCTCTGCTTGTCCTTTAACTGTGTTTCCTAAGGTCCCTCTGCATGCTCTTCTGCTAGGCAACAGAAGCCACATCTTAACCTTCAAATATGAAACGCATGTGGAGGGCTCTAAAACCTCCTTCTGGGCTCCAGACTTCTTTGGCCCCAGAAGCCAAATGTTTCTAAAGACCCTCTATAGCTTAGTGATCAACACTAATGTTTATCCGAAGGCCCATTATGGAAGCAGAAAGTCAATCTAGATTTCTTCTTTTCCACCCTTCACATCCATCTAGGAAACCATTGATTTGGGGTCATGAGTATCTCTAAGATATTCATCTATAGCCACTTCTCACCCTCCCTAGTCTGGTACCCTGGTTCATACACTAAGCACCTTTCTCACCTCCCTAATAGATATTTCTGCCTTTCATCTTTCCCCCTCTAATCCATACTCCAAATTGTTGCAAGAGTGATTTGTTAGAAAGCCAAGATGATCATGTTACCCTTACTTACTTGCTCAAAACTAAGATTCTCATTATCTAATTATAATGATAGCTAACACATATGGATCTAAAATTTGTGAGACTGAGAGCAGAGGCTGTAAACTTCTTGAAGGTAAGAAACCTTCATATTGGTCTTGATATACCAAGACTAGCACAGTTCCTAAGACATAGTAGGTATTCAAATATTCACTGCATAAAGGAACAAATGATATAATTTTCCTGTCTCATGCTACTGTACTCTCTCTTTATAAAATAAAGAGTTTGGTGATTGGCATGCAGAATGAAATTGATTTTCTAGCTTATAAGTCACAGGTTGGGAAGGAGTTGATCATAAGTCAGAATCATTCAATGCAATAATAAAAGGGTCAATGCAGTTATAAAAGGGTAACACTAACTGAATGGTGACTATGGCTACATGTACTACTAATGACTTTTTTTCTTGCTTAATCCTCACAACAATTTTATGATGTAGGAACTAACATTTTCCCTATTTAGATATGAATAAATAAAGGTTACCAAGGTTATATAGCTAGGGAACATAAATTCTAGGGTGTGAAATCAAAGCAGTCTGGTTTCAGAGCCCTTGCTCTGGCTAGATGACAAATGCTCAATAGAACCTTTCCAGTCCCATTTTAACAGAATACATATAAGAGTCCTTAATTTCTGATTACGTAAATAAGTCCCAAGCACTGGGAAATACACTTTATACCTGCTCTTATTTATTGCATGGTTCTTGCCATTCCCCCATCGCATGGTTTGTTCCAGCAGGCCATGCCCTGCCCACCTTGGGGCCTTTACTGATACACCTTTCTTAGGGCACCTGTCTGACTTCAAGTCTCAGTTCCAGCAACCAGCAGCCCCTCCTCTGTGAAGGTCTCCCTGACTCCCCTGAGCTGAGTTAAATCAATCAATTCAAATACAAGGACCAAATAAGCTGTGATAAAAAATGCTAGTTCTATTCTAAAGAGGTTTATTTTCTTTGCCTTTCTCACATATGAACATTTTTTTTTTTAAGTCAGAACCTTGGAGTAGGAACAATGCCTATACGTCATTGTCTCAATGACAAAAATTGAATCTTGTTAGTAAAATAATGTCATACAGTCATTCCAGAGTTTTTGAGTGCTACTACGTGTTGGGTGTTATTCTTGGTGCTGGGGACACTGGCAATGGGTAGAGCTTAGGTGCATTTGAGGAACGAAGGCATTGAACACATGAAGGACAGGTAGGTGACAGAAAGCTATTTCCAACAGGGTGGTAGAGGAAGGCCTCTCAGAAGAAATGACATTTTAGCAGAAACATGAATCAACTTGATTGCACCAAGTTTCTACTTGGAATGCTACAGGGTGGAGCAAGTGCCAAGACCACGAGCAGGTGGGCCTGCAATGCCTGATGAGGAGCAAGAAAGCCCAAAAAGCTGCACTGGAGAGAGATGGAGGGAAAGAGAAAACACACAGAGGTCTAAGTGGTATTTAGGACACATAGTGTGTTGGTCTGCAGGCCCTGAAGAATGTATATGTGTGCTTGTATAAGTTCATGTTTACATGCATATACATGATACATGCATACATGGATGGAATTTATCTTTCAGATTCCTACAGCCTCTTGTATTCTTTAACTTTTCATGAGTTTAAAATACCTTATTCCTGCTGCCCTAAAGCCTGTTGTTTAAGCATTTCTGTTCTTCAGAGTGTGCAATCCGCCCTAATGAAGCTGCAGAAGTGAAATTACAGCCCCTGGAATCACCCAGCTGTCCAGTTGCACTCAGGAGAGAGCTGAGCAAACAGGCAGCTATTGCTGCATCAGACAGGTGCCTGTGATGCACAAAAGAGACAGCAGGTGGAGCTGCATCCCTCCATATGACTCTCCCTGCAAGGTACTTGAGAGAACTGGGGAATTACTTGTGTGAGTTGGGTTTCCCTTCTCTTTTTTCGTTTAGCCCTCCTGTGCTGCAGGAAACAGCTGACTTCTTGAAACTGAACATTGTGTGTGTGTGTGTGTGTGTGTGTGTGTGTGTGTGTGTGTGTGTGTGTGTGTACTGGCTCCTCTGGCCTGCCTCTAGCATTTCTGTTCTGGAGACCTCTGTCCGCCTAATTAAATACTGCATACTTTTCATATTGCTATTTGCCTGAAATGTTTTTTAAAAGCTGCTGCAAAAAAATAAAGGTGACTCAAACTCTAAAGGTGAGATCCTAAAACAGAGTTTCTCAAACTTCAGTGTACATAAGGATCATTCTAATCTGTTTCAAGCAGGTTATGATGCTGCCTTTGAGGAACCCTAACTCAGCAGGTCTGGGAAAGGGCCCGGACATTACATTTTTCTCATTTAATTCTGTAGTAGGTGGCTCATTGAACCACATTTTACAAAATCCTAGTCTCATATTTGCTGGCCAATATAACGATCTTGTGAATAGTCAAAAAGTTACATGGGTTTTCAAACTACATGGATCATTTTACCCTAAGATGGGGCCAGAAAGACATATGCAAATGGGTTCTTTATAAGGGAGCAGTTAAGGAGAGAGGTTTAGGAAGGACTAGAACAACCACCTTATCTCCTTTTTTTCCTCCTCCCATTCCGCAAATTTGCAGTCTTCAGTGATTTTTTTTCTGCAAGATTGGCTGTGACACGGCAGCTTTCTGAGCAGAAATCTGCGTGCCCTCTAAATTCTCTGCCTCATCCAGCTGAAGGCAACACTGGCTGCATCACGTGTCTCATTAGTTTGCAAACTAGCAGAGCACAGTGAATACTATCCCTGAGGAATTTCCAACTGTCAGGCTGCAACAGATTACCCAGGCGCCCAGCAAGAGCTGCCAGCCCACTCCTGGAGGCACTAAGGAGGGACTCAGGTCGATTTGTTCCTGATGACCTTTGTAACCCTGTATTACAAACAAAACAAAACAAACACAAAAAAGCAACTTTTGTTTTGGAATCACATCACCTTTCTGCACTGTAGAGTGGAGAGAATGTGTATGTAAGTCAGGCAGTGGACTTTCTGGGAGAGCCCTGGGGGAATGGGTGGAGTTGGTGGAGGGGCAGAAGGCAGGCTTGGCAAGCTGAGAGTTGCTGCTAATTCTTTACTATGTGCCAGGGCACCACATATTTTGCTTGATGGGACCTTTGGGGACAAGATGGGTACCTATTTAACAGAGGAGAAAAAATTTAGGGTCAGAGAGATAGAGTGACTTGCCTAAGGGTTGGGGCCAGGATCTGGACCTAATCAGAATGCTTGATTCAGTCTGGCACTTTAATTTTTTTTTTTTTTCCTACAAAGCCAGCTCCTCCCCCTGTCTAATCCCATGTGTTGGCACTTTGGCATCAAAAGTCATTCATTAGGTCCTCCAGGTTAAAGGCGCCTGGGAGTGTGACTCAAATGTGCTTTTGTTCTGGCTTCCTCTTAGTGTAAAATGGTGCCCAAGTCATGGTGCTTCTCCAATCCTGGTTATCTACATCTGAAAGAAAAGGCTGGAGTTGTCTATTATGGTATAGATGTGAAGACAGCAAAATGAGTTTGTGTGTATAGTAGCATGATGGGTCCTTTAGGAGGAAGGCACTAAGCTAACACGTTAGAACCTACCGAAACTGCCATGCCATGGGTTTTAGATGTATGTGAGTTAACAAACAGCTTAAAACATGATCCCGCTTCAATATAATTAGTACAAAAGAGTTAATTATTGTCCTCAATGCCAGACTTGGAAAGGGGCTCCATTATATGAGGGATTCCATTATATGCTATAACCCAGGATGTGTTTATAAAAATAAAATCAGAACACAAAGCATTCCATTATAAATCATCTTCCACTAAAGTTAAGGTCAAATAGTTTGCCCAATCAACTAGGTTAATGAAATGAAAAAATCGCAAATGAACAAAGAATCTCATTCCTTTTAGAAGTTGTGGTTTCAGCAGCCCTGACTCTTGAGCAGAGATAATCTGTGTTGCTTTCCTTCCCTAGATTGAGTAAACCAGGGAGGGGTCTTGGAAGAGAGCTGTGGACCCCTCAAGGGATATGAACATGTGTAGGAATGAGGAAGAGTCTATAGGCTGACTAGGAGGTCAAGCTATAAAGGACTCAGTGGGAGACCCTGAGAAATTTAGACCAGAAGCTGGTACTGAATTTTAAATCAGTATTTACACGTGATTGGAGTTTGGTAGATATATAATGAACATGTGAGATACAGAACACAATTATTATAATTCCTAAGGTGGGTACCTCTCTAGTAAATCCTCCTTATACAATAAGCTGCTGGAAATGATAGGATGCCAGGTGGGCAGCCACTCTCAGCAAATGTATTGTCATTTGTGTTGCAAATTATCTTTTCTACCAATAATTACTGTTTCTATATATTGCTAAAGATCTTAAGATTATTATTCCTATGATCCCATCACTTAAATTCCTCTAAATACTGATATATAAGGAGGTGTATGTCTTAGTAAGAGGCAACTTCTGAAAGTCTACATAGGATGGCTTATGTGATCTGATGGAAGGGAGCCTGTGTAATGTGTCTTGAACCTATGTAGTGGTACATCAAGTACACGGCTTCTAACCTAAATGTTTATGTCTCTTTGAGATGATTTGCAAAGATGGGGGTGAGTAAAATCTGGACGGAGACTTAGTTCCTCCAACCTCAAGCCACCCTTGGCACTGACACTTACTGACCTTAGTGACCAGAGCTGGAATTGCCGGGACAGAGAGAGCTGAGTCTGGGGCCTGGCTCTGCTGGGTGGCATGTCTGCCCCTTCCCATAAGTTACTGAAGCTCTCTGAGCCTCGACACTCTTTGTAAATAGGGGTTCCAATAGTGCCTACCTCACAGGATTGCTTTGAGAAGTGAGGCAATACACATGAAGAGCTTATTTAGTGCAAAGCCTGGCACAAACTGTAAGAGCTTAATAAACTGCAGCCAGGAGAGGGGAGCCTGAGTTGCCATACTGGGAGTCGTGTGTAGCTTTGTTTAGAACAAAGAAGGAAGTGTGTGTGTCTTGGAAGCACCTGTGTCAAAAGTGTGCAGGAGATAAAGATCAGTAATTACTGATATATTAGGAATTCCAAGCAACCAATCTCCTGGGTATCCCAAAATAGTCTTTTTAAAAGATTTTTTTAAGCCACCCAGAGAGCATTGGACCAAAATAGTCTTGCCTTCTCACTGGACCACAGCAGCTAAAAAAGAAAAAACAAAAAATGTTCCAGTTGGTATTTTCTGTACTTCTGTACTCAATTTGGTTGAGGAGAGGCACGAGTAATACCTGGCCTTAATACTATTGGCCTAGAACTTGAAATTTGAACAAGGTCATTCATATAAAGGAGCTACCTTCATTTTAAAGTAAACTACTTCTCTAGTAACCAATATAAGTCCTAAGAATGATTAGGGACACCCTTACACCTACCAAGTTTATGACACACATTTTTACCAAACATAACTTAAAAGTTATCTCTTCCTATCTCCTCACATCTTTAGACACCTTAAAGAGGGAAAAGCTTTAGCATTTCTTGGACCTGTTTCTGACTGTGGCTTCCTTCACATTATTTTTATACTCTTTACCCATACACTACCTTCTCTCTAACACCAAATCATCCACAGATAGGAGCCCAAAAAATACTTTCTAAAGAGCAAAAGTCTAAAAGGATTATCAATATAGCAAGATAGAACATGGGAAGATAGAAATAATCAGATGGGGGAGAAATTTCTTTCCTTGTGCTAATTCTCAATGTGTTAGACTGAGATGTGCATGTGGGTTGTTTTCAATCATTTCTGGCCAAAAAAAAAAAAAAGACAAAAATTCATATATTTTAACCAAGTAGTTTTGCAAATGGCTCAGGCCCAGCCGCCAGCCACAGGTGTCCTGTCTCTGAGGCACCTGGAGGAGGAATAGTAAATACAGTGAGAACCATCCCGAATTGAAGATTACTCAAATTCCACTCTATCTTCTTCTTACTCTCTCCCCACTCCACTCTCATACTTTCTTATTTTCCATAGCTAGTGCCTTTCTTCCTGATATAAACTTTGGGATTAGATTTTGAAAGAACACAACATTAAGATATGTCATAAACCAACAACAGTAATAACATACAAGTTACATGTAAGTACAGGACGGCGCTGTCAGACCCCAGACTGTTGTCCACCTGCACGGTCACTCGGAAAATGCCCACATTCTGATAGACGTGTTTGATCCCATCTTCCATGGAGCTGAGGTTGACATAAGACACTGCGATACCATCGCCGAAGTCCACCTGGATGAGTGTCCGCTGAACATCACCCTGAAAAACAGCCCAACATCAGAGGGGAGGGAATCAGTGTTTGGCTGCTCCTGCCTTGGGGCCTGAGGCTCGTCCTAGTCACTGGCTCAGGTACAGCAGCAGTCCTGGCTTCCTCCTACAGCTGGGAGCAGCTGTCTGTATTTGACAGAACCCCTGTGACGTTCCATGGCAGGCAAGAGTTTGCTAGGATGGATACTCTCCAATACTGAAGGGCACCGAATACCAGCAGTTTCAAGGTTTTGAAAATTAAGAGTGTTTGATTATTAGCTCCAGTACGATGCTCAATTCCTCTAAAGGTTTTGTGAGTAGTCTTCTTGTTCACATGGATAAAAGGCGTACACACATAGCTTTAAAGATTTAGCCTACCTGACATGACCATGGACTACATCCTATGTCTTCAAGATCCCTGAATCCCCCTCTTTATTTCTGCTTCCCTGACTGCGTTGCAGGAAGGATGGAAAACACCTTGCCTGACACCTGATATGACATTGAACTCAGCCTGGTTATTATTTAAGGTAATAATGGTTAATTCTTCTGTACTTCAGTGTTTTGGATTATCAAAATGACCTCATTCTTTTCCTCCTAGAATCTTAGTCTGGAGAGGAGAGTAGGCAACATTCGTACACTTTACAGATGAAGAAGCTGAAGTCAAGAAACATTTCATCGCCGGCTCAGGATTAACACAGCTAGTGAGCAGCAGTCCTGGGATTCTAACCCACCTCACTGGACCCTCCCGTTCATTCATTACAGAAGGAATATAGCACTGTGGACACTGAAGGCTCCCGCAGCCTTGAATCCTCCTGTGTTATTGTCAGGCTGGATGACTTCATGCCAGTCATTCAGCTTCCTTCAGTCTCAGTTACTAAACCTATGAAATGGGCATAATAATAACTAACTGTTGTAACGGAAAAGGGTTCTTATAAAAAAAAAACATGCAGGTAATTATATTATAGATTCATTAGTAATCTATGAAAAGCTACACAAAAATAAGTGACTATAAAAATAATGCAGCTATAAAAGACCTACAATATTCTTTCAAGGCTTGATTTGAATCATGTGATTCTAAATTTCCCATGGGTATGCAGGAAAAGATGCCTGTATTATAAATTCCCACACCTATGAAAAAGAAATGGCCTTTGGAATGACAGTTTCGAATCTTAAGGATCAAAGTTGCTTAGACCCAATTGACAAAAACCAGCTTCCTTCACACACAGCCCATCCTTTAACACTTTGTTGTTGTTGTTGTTGTTAGCCTTTCCCGATTTTAGGGGGAGAAAAAGACCAAAAAACCTTTGAACTAGAAATGTATTTTCGATTAAGTAAGGTTCATATGGTATCATATTTTTTGAAAAGGCCAAGTTTAAAATGCTGACATTTACAAGATTAATTCACAGGGAGAGGAAAAGCAGTTCAATTCCTACGAATCTACGTGACCTACTCCTCTGCTCTATGCCCAGCCAAGCATTGTGTGCCGGGCAGGCGGCAGCTAACTCTCAGTGAGTACACAGGCTAAAATTCTCCCCTAGGGTAGAAAAAGAAATTCCATTCAAAACCACAGAACAAATATCCACAAGGCTAGTCATTGTGCACATACTTGAATTCCCTCCACTAATAAATATAAATGTCAACCATTCTTGCTGACTTGTCCTTCATTTGGGCAGCCAAAGTGGACTGATCAATTTCTCCTTCCGTTTCTGGTCAGTTTCCACTCCCAGGTTTTCTGGCTTTTCAATGGAGTTGCTGGGATGCCAACCCAGCATGGGGCACATAGGTGTGGGCATGAGGAAAGAGCCTGCTTTTTGAAATAAATATCAAGGGAAATGTCAGGGTAGCTAGCCAGCATTATCCATGGAAAAATAAACAAACAGTATAGTTTCCACTAGAGATGGTAATTGATATGGGGGAGGAGAAAGAGCCATGTTTAAGGGGCTTTGCAGGGAGAGTGAGCATGGTGCAGGGGCTATGATCTGCAAGAGGACAAAGGTGACACACAATGGTATTGATCTTATGGCTCACCTAAGAGCTCCTGAAGACAACGTTGTGAAATCCAGTTTGTTCCATTTAGTGGGCAAAACTACAACAGGAGGGACATAATCTGATGCCTTCTGCCTTGACATTCTCATCTCCTAATGCAGAGCCCAAGCCTGGAGTTGCACCTCCGGCCAACTGCACTTCGGCCTCCACCAAGAGAGCAGCCACTCACATGGGCAGAGCACAAGTTTGGCTGCCACTGCTTGAGTCTACCTCGCCTTGGTCTTTCTGATCGGTATCCATCACTTCCCTTTTGTTGGCCTGGACTTAGACTTCTTGTCATTTACACAAAACCCCTCCTAAGTTCTGTCTGTCTGGATATCTACTGTCTATCATGCTGGTCTTCGGGCCTGACAGCATTCTTAATTCTCCACTCATGATAATGTTCTGTATACACATAATAGGTGAAAGGGAGAAAGCAACTCAATGTTTGGACTAGTGCATCAGTAAGGCTTCCATTACAAAGTCAGTCATTCAGGGTATTATTTCAGATGTTAGCCTTATCATGCATGCACCTGATGGCCTCTGAATGCCAAGGCATGGAATATTCCAATCAAATGTGAAGTTTCCCCAGATGGGAGGACAGGGCTCTGGCCTTGGACTCTGCATTAGGAGATAAGAATGTCCAGGGGCCATGTCTGACAGCAGAAGGCATCAGATTATATCCCTCCTGTTGTAGTTTTGCCCGCTCAAGTGGAACAAACTGGATTTCACACCTCTGTCTCCAGGAGCTCTCAGGTGAGCGGTAAGACCAATACCACTGTAAGCGTGTCAGCTTGGGGCTCTTCAGACTTTAGCTTCCTTGGGCTCTAATTACCACCTGAAACAAGGATGCCAACCACTTTCAGAGAATAAGAAACAGAGTAAAGGGATGGCAGCCTAAGTCCTAGGTAACTATATGACTAGGCGAGCCTACCCTACTTTTCATTGGCTCTCTGGTCATTCATTCATTGAGTCATTCAACCAGCGGGCAGGTATTTATTGCACATCTGTCTCATTATCAGTCAACAAGTGGGAAAATGCTAGTAGGCAAATAACAACCCACCAAACTAAACAAAACATAGTCTGTGCTTTCATGAGCTTACAGATCAGTAATGAAACATAAACAATTTAATTAATCATTCAAATTTTAAAAAAGTTATTACAGGGGTGATATGAAGAAAAGGTACAAGGTGTTGTAAACTCAAGCCATAGAGCTCGAGAGCTGGCCTACTGGAAACTTCAAGGAAGGCTTCCAAGAGGAAGTGACGTCTGGCCTGAGAAAACAATAAATTAACCAGATGGAGATGAGTGAGCATGAGCAAGTGGAGGATTGGGCACCTAGCTACTAGGAAAAGAGGGAAACAGATGAGCTAAGGCCCTGCTGCAGAAGGGAGATGGTACAGTTGAAGGCATTAAAAGACTCAGAGAGAGAGAGAGAGTGAGCATGAGGGAGCACAACAAGAACTTTTTGTAAAATGAGGCTAAAGAGTAAAAACTATCTTTTAGGACTTGTGGGTCAAATTCCTGATTTTGATCTTTCTTTTAGGATCATTGAAATGTGTTTTACTTTTTAAAAATTTTATTTATTCATTTCAGCATATTACAGAGGTACAAATGTTTAGGTTACACATATTACCTTTGTCCCACCCTTATTTTAATTTTTTTTAAATTGATACGTAATAATTATACATTTTTTTTGATATTCCAATACATGTATACAATGTATAGTGGATCAAATTAGGCAAATGGGATATATAGCACCTGAAACATTTATTATTTCTTTGTGCTGGGAACATTCAAATTCCTTTCTTCTAGCTATTTTGAAATACATAATGAATGGTTAACTATAGTCACCCTACTGTGCTAAGGATCACTAGCATTTCTTCCTCCTATCCAACTATAGTTTTGTACCCATTCTGCCTCCCTTCCCAGCCTCTGGTAACCACTACTCTACTCTTTATTTCTGTGTGATCAACTTAACCATTAAAGTGCTCTAAGCAGGGGATTAAGGGGAGATGGCATAATAATTTTAATTCATAGTGATCACTCTGTCTACAATATAAAGGATGGATTGGAAGGGGTCCAGATATGTTGGGAAGCCAATGTGGGGGTATTCCAGGGTAGATGATAGTAGCTTGAAATAAGAGCTCCAACAGAAAATATGTGTCTTGCTGTCAAAATTAACTTCTTGGTTTTTAAATCAGTGATTCTGAACTTTTGATATCAGCACCTCTTTGAGTATTATTTTTTAATGCTGATGCCCAACTTCTACCTAAGACCCACACACTGTTTCAGGGGCTCTGGGGAGGCTGCTCCATTCTACTGCAGTCTGAGAAGGTCCATAGCTGATGCTGGCGGTCCCAGAGGTTCAGGCTTGTTGAATGTTAGGTTTTCTGGTGGTTGAATTCATCTGAAGATGAATATGATACAACATAAGTTGATGCTATTCTTACTTGATTTGAATATAATGCTAAAGTTTAACCAGGATGTTTTAGGATTCTAAGTGCTAGGAGTACAATAAAGAAGCTGAGAATGGAAGAATTAAACCCATGGTTCGTGGACTGGCACATAACCACAAACGAATATTTCATAGCATGTGCAGTTAAAGACTAGCGAACTTCTCTAGGAAAATGAGTGGCTGGGTGATAGGAGGGTAGACTGTGTCTACTCCTAGGGGCTGGGATATGTCTTGTCAATGGCCCTATCCTCAGTGCCTAACACAATGCTTGCAGATGATTCTTTTTTTTTTTTTTTTTTTTTTGGTCAACAAAACTTAAACATTGTGTATTTCTAATGTGTTTGTTCATCAGAATTATTTCTTACATATTACCTCATTTGGCTATTAGGACACCCAGGAGATGGAGAGGACGGATGCTCTTTCTATTTGATATAGCAGAACAATGGAGGCACAGAGAGGTTAGATAAGATGTATAAAGTCATACTGCTAGTTAGAAACTTAGGAAAGGGCTTAACATCATCTACAGCAG